AGTTCTCACATGTCTCCCACATGTATAGATGCTGAACAGAACTGGGAACGAGATGGAACACCGCGGTATCCCACAAGTCAAATCCAACTGAATAGAGCAGCAGTGTTACTGCCAGTGCAAACACACAAAATAGAAGAACCATCACTGCCAAACAGTACTTCAATCTCTCATGCATCTCAAGTAGTTCAAAAGGATTCAATTGTCTTACAATCAAATACCACTAAGAGGTCCAGAAGGGTAAGTAGGGTTACATCTCCCCATTTTCTTATAGCGAAAGATTATGATGACTATGATGATTAAAGTGTTCCAGTGTCAAACTCCACTGTTGCCAACAAGCTGCCATTTGGTTTGTGTCCCGTCTCCCCCCCCAAGCTTCGTCTTGATATGGGATTTGTTTCTCTTTTTTATGTTTTTGTGGGGGACAGTAAGGACATTATGGTCCATTACTACAAGAAAGACAGAGAGGCCAGCAGAATTAGCAGGGCTCCTAATACTCACTGAAGAAATAGCCATTCCAGAGAGAAGCAGAGCCTTGTCCAATATCTAACTACCTAATCATTAATCATGGCCTTGGTGATTAATCAGTGTGTCTTCAACCACAAATGAAACCTGCTGCTCTAGCACTGCCCAAGGAAACAATCTTTTGCACTTCAGCATTTTCTACCAAATGGTTTATGGTCCAATTTGGACTACTCTGAATTACAAGCCAAAGCCATGTAACTAGTTAGACCACTTTGGCCCAAATACTGGCATTTTAAAAAAAGCCATGTCTACCTGTGAAGACACCCATAACATCTATCACTTTTTTTGGATTACTTTGGATTATTTGTTCTTTGAATGCCACGGTCCTCACATTAGGAACAGAACATATGCCAGGAGCTGTGCAAATATGTAACTTTACATTTAAAGTTTGTGATTAATTCTGGCTGGGTTCATGGTTCATAAACTGAAATTCGTGGCAGGTCAACCAGCATGAATTTTCCACAAACTTTCAAGCAGTTCATGAATGGATATATTTCCAGCCAGTTTCCACTCAATCAAAATGTTTACCAAACTTCAAAGGCAGGGTGAAGTTCCCTGTGTGGTTTGGTGTGTGTGGTTTGCAGAGGGTCCATTCTATGCACTTTTGAATCAGTGCCTGACATTTTCCCCAAAAGCACTTCTTGAGAGCATCTTCTGGGGGGGGGATAACTCAGACCCCCTAAATCCAATCTACACATAACTTGGAGGATATGTAGAGGAGCATCAAGGGGAGGTCCCCTGTGAGTTTGATGTCTCTAGCTTGCACAGAACCCATTCTATATACCCCTGAACCTCCTGAACCTGCGTCAGTCATTTCCACAGAAAGCATTTTCCTGATGGCAACTTCTTGCGGGAGCCGTAATTTGGAACTCGTAGAGATGTGAAGGCCTGGAAAAAAACCAGAAAAATTCGGGGGGGACGGACGGTTTATTTCCGTTTATTTCCTGAAGGCTCCCCCCCCGAAAAATTGGAAAAATTGAAAAAAGAAAAGAAAAAAAATTGACTATAGAATGTTTTATTTTAACATGTTGAATAAAATATTTTAAGACAAGGTGTTCAAATATTTTCCAAATCATTTCATATATTCCAAATCATTTCTAAAATATATATATATGGTATCAGATTGATCTAATTTCTGTGCACTGAGGACAAGCAAGTCCTAGGTTACAAACCGAACTCTCCAATGCAAGAACAAGATGCATTTCTTCCTTTAGGAGGTGCGATTGTCAGAAGAAAATTAAAAAGTTTCAGTTTTGTTTTTGCATGTGGGTGGGTATTCTGTTTGTAATAATTGTTTGGGTACACTATACACTATATTTTTAATATGCTAGTTGTGATAATTTCATGCCAGGTAAAAATGTCCATAGTCATATTTTATATTCCTAAAGTAACAGAATGACTTTCAATCTAGAAAAGACAAAAGAAATGCTAATGTAACATTTTTTCCAATTTTTCCAAAAAATCCCGTTTTTTCCTGGAAAAAACGGAAAAAAACCAGGTTTTTTTCTGAGCTTCAAAATTTCCGGAAATTTTACATCTCTAAGGAACTCGTAAATCCAATCCTCACCAAACTTGGGAGGGCAGGTAGAGGAGAGTTGGCCACAGATCTCCAGCGAGTTTGGTGTCTCTAGCACATGGGGGAGTGGCTGTTCTACTGCATCACAAGCCAAATCAGTTTGTTTGGCACCTAAAAGTTTGTGACAGTTCGTGGCTCACAAATCCGGCAAGCCACAAACCAAACCACATTTTCCCAGTTCATGCCCATCCCTATTTATGAGCTTTACTCTCTCACTCTTCGTCTTCCCATCACCCATCCCAACTGAAGTATATTGCAGAGTTTGCAAGAGCTTCAAATATATAGCTTTTTTGGGTAGGTTTTCTAGTATTGGGTACTATATTGACCATTTGATATTATTTTGACCGCTTGAATTTGCCAATTCTTTTGCCCAGATATTTGTATTATTCTATCCAGATTCTCAATGTTCCTTTCAAGTCTATAGAAGCATATCACCACTCTGTCAAAGATTCCTTTATTATAGCCATTGTTTTGAACCACTCCCCTTATTGGGGGTGTTCTTTAAGTGCAGATCTCCTTTAGCACAGGAGTGAAAGACAGCAGAAGGTAGGTTTGGGGCCAACTTGGAAAGATGACCACAAGTCCAGGGCACTCTTCTAGTTCTGACACACAACTTGTGCCACCACCCGCAAATACTGAGAGGTATGGATTCAGTAGTCCACCAGACTTCCAGAAGAAAACCAGGATCTGGCCACTATGATAACTGCTGTGCTGACTGCCATAGGCTTGAAGATCAGCAGGTGCTGTTTCCTGCACTTCTTGTATAGACCTACAACATACTTCAGAAGCAAACTGTGATCTAAATGCAGAGAAATTAAATGTATGCTCACATCAATGATAAACAGAAATGTCTACTAGTCTGGCCTAAGCAGCAACAATCTAAAATTCTGTTTCCACAGAGCTCACAAGATTCACAAGCCCAAACTTATTGTTTCTACAGTCTCACTAAATTTGATCATCTTGGTGCTCACAGAGCACCTGGCCTCCATAAGGTTCAGCTATTTCTCCAGTAATAACTCGAGCTTCCCCTTCTGGAAAGACCACTACTTCACTTCACACAATAAATATAATGAGCCAAGCATAATGACATTCCATTACAATAGATAGAAATTCTATGATGTTTTTGTGTATACTTCACCAGATGCACAGATAAAAACATCCATAAAGCAGAGCTTAAAGCAAACAAAAGCATTTGCCCCAGAAAAAGAACCAAACAGATCAAGAGAAAGCATTATACCAGTTTTCCTTGGAAGATACAAAATTAATCTAATTCCAGGATACAATATAACAATGGAAACTGAAGTCAATATTATGGCATATTTTTGTAATACTGTGACAGCAGCATTTTAAAACAGTTTTGGAATCTATCCAAGGAAAGGGGAAAGATACACTAAACATTTGTCATGCTAGACAAGTTTTAAATGCTCGAGTAAGTTTTCTAAATGAAATGTGCTAAGACTGATGTCATTACTTGAGACTGAGAAAGGGGTTACTTCTGTTCCAAAGGTTTCACTGCATTAAGACTTTACTCCCAAACTATTATTTTAAATTGGGCTAAAGAACAGTAATTGAGTGCTACATTCAATTTTTAGGTACAGGAGCAGTTCAAGTTGCCTGTAGAACCCAGAGATACTATGTAGAATCTAAAGAAATATATTATACAGTATTTAAAGTTTGTTATTCTACCTGACATTGCAAACTATCATAGTTAACTATGCAAAGATGCACACGTTTGTAATCAAGGGAAGGAGCAAGTTGCTGGAGATATGCTCTGCATAGGCTCAGACCCCAATTGTGAGACTACAGAGATACAAAAAATGAACTTGCAGTAATTCACAAATATGGATCTCTCCTAATATAGTAGCAGAATGCTGCCTTATGGAAGAACCTTTTAAATTTGGCCTGCATTACTTGCAGGGCAATCCTAAACAGAGTTACACCCTTTTAAACCCACTGGATTACAATGTTGGTTACAATATAAATGTTAAGAGCTTTGTAAAAGGCAGTCATTCAGACACCTAAATCTACTGCCACGTAAAGCATTTTAATGGAAAACAGAACTGATGAACCCAGTTTTGATTTTTATTATAACAACATATCACATAAAATTTAGGAGTTTTATTGTATCCAGATCATCAAACATGTAATAGCAAGTGTATATTCTAGGAGCCCTCATTTTATAATACTCTAAATAATTCACACACAGCTTAAAAGATATAGAGGTATATTGAGGTATTCAATGTGTTTTCCAGTGTACTGTAAGTACTTACAAGAATGCAGGAAATAATACATTCATTATGTAGCTCTACTCTGCATTATTCTCAAAGGCCAAAGGAGGACTGTAAATTGCATTGTCTGATATTTTATTCTACATGGCCTGAGCAAGTGGTTAAGTGCACTTTTCAAACCTTTTTTTTTTAAAGGCAGTTTTTGCCACACCATTTTAACCCATTAACTTGTCTACCAAAATAAATAAATAAAACAATGAAGCCTTAGTTTTTCAGAGCAGTTACAGACATCTGGGAAAATTTTTCAGGTCATTCTGTAAGTAGCTCTATTGGAAAGCAATCTTGTTTCAACGCCTTCATGATACAGATTTTAACTGCTACAAAAAGGCAGATTTGATTGTGCATTTAATTCAGTCATATACAGTTTAAAGTTCTTTAATATAATAGCTATAGTAAGTATTTGGTGAGCTCAAAATATAAGTATCTCGTGACTTAATTTGTACCTACATATTAAGACACATTTCTATCCCTCTGTTTCCACAAATTAAGTCACAGCATATCTTACCACAAGCCCTTGCCCATACACTGCACACTTTAACATTACTTTTCTAAGACCAGATTTCCCCAAAAATGTACTGTGGGGTAGGTAGAACTGGAACACTATAAATACTCACAGTAATACTATCCAAGAGTTTTGCCATGCGTTTAATAATTTCACCATGGTGAGCTGGCTGTGTCTGCAGCAGTTTCTTAATGACAACAACACTTTCAGCAACCACTATTTCTGGTAAAAAAAATGCATATTTTTAAAGTTACAATCATAAAATTAATTTCATGCACCATAATCAAATAACTAGAATATCGACATCTAGATTTTTCTCAAAGCATGTTTACAAAAATAGAATATCTATTATAGTGCTAGAAATACAGAACTGTTTACACATTTGAAGTTCTGTCACATGACATTTAAGAGTGTACTCCAATGAACAGAGTGGGTGTTAGGGGACCTGTGCCTATATCATACAGTTAAGAATTTCATTGTAACATAATCCAAAGCATTATCAAAATGAAATGCTCATATTAAAAACCTGGCAACCAAATAACATTAAGTGTGATTCCCACAAATTAATTACAATGAAAGAAAAAGTAAAATTTGATCAAAGTTGAAATCAAATATACAATGCTGTATTTACTACAGCCTTACTACTACGAAAAGCAAGACATTTATTTCATCTTCTTTTAGCAAGTATTAACATTAAGCTTTTTAAATTCCTATATAATAAACAGATGATATAGGAATCTCTTACTAATACCAGAGATTCTCAAGTCTGGCATCTTTATTCTTTATAGATAGCAAAAAAGCTTGTTGTATTATTGGATAGTTATATTGAAAATTAGAAAGATATTATCAAATTCTAGCATTTTTGCACTATACTCTGGCTCAAAGAATAGGACAAATCTAATGTGTTCTCTGGGTACATCTGGATGCCAGAACAATCCAACTCCTATTACAAAATGTCAAGCACTATAATAAAGCATTATTTATCAATGAAGGCACCACAGGTATGCATCATGTGCACTTGGATTTAATTAGACTGGGATGGGTTGAATGAGTGCACTTCCTGAAAGATCTCCTCAAGACATAATGTGAAGTTTTGTTTCTTTCTATATTCTTTGTAGCATGAAGTTGAGGAACTGCTAGCATGGATTTAAAACCAGCACACTTTTACCACTATATTATCACATTCCTTAATAAATATCCCTCCCCTCCCTCTTTCTTCCAAATCTATTAGGGGCATGTAGCTTCCCAATGTATACTTTATATAGGAAATGGGAAATACATAACAACACCCTGACCTAATGAGATTAAGCTTTTTCTATATGTAAACATAAAAATATACAAATCAGTTTTTAATTTGGACCAAGCACCTGCCAATCTAACTGAATGAACTGATGACAATTTTAAAAGGCACAGTACTAATGAAGGCCAAATACATCATCATCAAGACTCTTACTGATGAAATTATAAATACCGCCTAAGATGCACATTTTGAGAATGATTTGCATAATAATCACTTTTTATACCCACCAACTCCTCCTTAGCGTCTGTAGCTATTTATATTTTTTTCTATTTGGATATACAAATAAAGGAACATAAATTACGAAACAAGCACAGACTTACTGGGTACCCTAAACTGTCTGATACACTTTTTTTTAATTTAACCACTTGCACATATCAACAAAACCCACATTTCCCTGCTCATAGCACCCTCTGCAGTACAGTTACTTTAATGCAACTAAGGAACGCAAGCTCAGTATGTTCACTATGAAACAATACTCTACATGTATTAATTATTTACTTTCAAGCAATTTCAGTTACTAGTATCAACTACATACTGACAGAAAGTCCCAACAAGAGACCAATAATAAGAGACTAGAAAACCCATGTTTAAAAGGTACAAAGAGCAACTACAGTACAATGCTACTTTATCTCCAGACTACATTTAAGACAAATAATTCAATGTACTGCTTTTAAATCTGTTTAGGGATACTGCCAGACAATACAAGCCATCAATCGTCCTCCAAAAAAGAACAATTAACTTACCATCTCTGTTAGACAGCAAACACACCAGCCCGTTAAGGCATGTGTCAGTCACTTCTGAGATGTTGGTTGCACATCTACCTATTGCCTGAATTGTAGCTGCAGCAAACTGTTTATCTTGGCTCTTCACATAGGTCTGAAGAATACAGGAATTTAAATTGTCAACACATTGGTATAATCAACTTAAAAATCTGACAGAGCCATTCAGCTCTCTGGAAGCCATCCTCAGTTCTGAGGGAAGTTGTTTTATGTAAAGGAATTTAAAAGCAATTGGTAAGCAGGAACAAAGAACAAACAAACATGTCATGATATATTAAATCAAATCAAAGCCAATACTAGTTGTTTTAACATTTTTGTTTGGCATTATTCTATTTCAGTAATTAAGAAATGGACTGCAGGATATGTTTTACTGAAAAAGTGTGCAAGCACACGAAAGCTTATACCTTAAATAAAACTTTGTTGGTCTTAAAGATGCCACTGGACTCAAACTTCGTTATGCTAGCATCTGTCACTCAATACCCAGGAGGGTCTCTCTCTGTGAATCTTGGTGGGGGATGGTAACACAGCCAGCAGTTACAATGAGTATAGAGCAGTAGCCCATGAATTGTTTGGCCCATTTAACCAGCAGCATCTGATTACAACCCTTTTAATACCACACAGTTTGTCAACTGCAAAAATTGCTATGTGCAAATGGAAAATCTGAAAAGGCAAAGCACGCTTATTTAGAAAAAAATGGTTAGCTACTTTGCATTGTGGAAAAAGCAGTCTATAAGTAGCTTTAATACATTTAGAAAATGATAGATACCACTATGCTTTTTAAACTACCTTAGATTAAGAGAAATGGGTTGGATCCCATATAGTTGATCCGGTAAACAGCAGTGATTTCCTCTGGCACAAAGAGAGCCCATCACTGACGCAAGAGGTTCAGCCTTTTCATCAGTGGGAGGCTTCTTGTGACAAAAAAACCCCTGCAGCCATTAGTGAAATGGATCCACAGGATCCAGTCTAACACATCACATGTGTCAATTTTACTATCTTACTAAACAATTCCTCCCCAGGATTCTAATCTGCAAAAAAAGAAAAAGAAAAAAAAATCTGTATAGTTTCGCGCATCGATTGGCTTGTAGCAGCATCGACTAAATTTTCAACAAAGTTCAAATCATAGCCTTGGATCCATTAGAGGATTTCTACAGACAAAGAGTAGGGATGATTTTCACTGATTCCTCCCTCCTGTGGTCGGCCTCCCCAAAACCCCTCATTTTATTCCTGTGCCCCCAGGAGAAGCATTTCAGGGGCATATTGGGCAGGAGAGGAGGGGCAAGAAACTTACACTCTGCTGATAGAAATCTGTTTGGTCAGCAGAAACTTCTTGTCGGTCTAAGCATTATTTTGTAAACTATGCTTTCAAACCTTTATTCTTCCTATGCCAGTTCATCAGGAAAAGAACTTACAAATATATCAGGCTAGGAAGATTCCTGAAATAATACAAATCATGCACAAACCTGAAATTCTCTGAGAAGAGTAGATATGTTGGCTTCATTTGCCAAGCTGGTCAAGATTTCGAGCTAAAGAAGAAAAACAGTTCAGACAATGTTGGTAGAAAACACTTCTGTACTTCAAAAATTTCACTTTAAACCTTAAAAAGTTAACAAATAAAAGGCAGCAACATAAAGCATCATGATGGGCTACCATAAAGCATTTGTTGTATGTAACAACGAAGTTTTTTTCTAGAATCAGTATTTCAAAGGTTGGTTGGCTCAGACTGAGTCGGCTGAAGTTAAACCTGGCGAAGACGGAGGTCCTGGGCCTAAGTCGGGTCGGTTCGAGGTTGGGGCTCCCTCTCCTGGCCTTCGATGGGGCGCCGTTGGTGCCGGTGTCGAGGGTTAGGAGTTTGGGAGTGCTCCTGGACTCCTCTTTATCGATGGAGGCCCAGGTGGCAGTCACTGCCAAGTCAGCCTTTTACCATCGTCGGCTGGTGCGGCAGTTGGTTCCTTTCCTTGACCGTGAAGACTTGGTCACAGTGATCCATGCGACGGTCACCGCAAGGTTGGACTACTGTAACGCTCTCTACATGGGGCTGCCTTTGTCGCAAATCCGGAAGCTGCAGTTGGTGCAGAATGCGGCGGCCAGGCTGTTGATGGGTCTCACTAGACAGGACCACGTCCAGCCTGTGCTGAAGACGCTGCACTGGCTGTCTATAGCATACCGGATTCGCTTTAAAGTGCTGGTTCTTACCTATAAAGCCCTTGATGGCCAGGGTCCAGTGTACCTAAGAGACCGCCTTTCCCCATATGTTCCCCCAAGAGCACTACGGTCGGGGGCACAGCACCTATTGGTGGTTCCAGGCCCCAAGGACATCAAGTTGGCTGCAACCAGGGCCAGGGCTTTCTCGGCGGCGGCTCCTGTCTGGTGGAACGAGCTCCCAGAGGAGATCCGGGCCCTGTGGGACCTGGCGCAGTTCCACAGGGCCTGTAAGACGGAGCTCTTCCGCCAGGCCTTTGCATAGGAGCCACCGCCGTCATTGTGCCACCACTGAGCTCCCATCTTCAACGGTGGATTAGACCTAGAGGAGAGCCAGCCCTGGGAAGACGCCTAGATGACCAAAGAACGTATGCTGTCAGGTTAGGTTGACAAATGGAACCCATCTTGGACTAATAAGACTTAACATCAAGAGCACCGCACTTTACTTAATGATTGTTTTTATGCTGTTTTAATTTGTTTGTTATGGCATCAGCCTCTGTTTTTAGCCGCCTTGAGCCCATTTTGGGAGGGCGGGATATAAATCCAATAAATAAATAAATAATCTCTCCTGTACTTTATAACACTGCATGCTGATTTTAAGAAATGCAAACATGGCATTGCTCCTTTAACATTATAACTGAAACACATATATAAACTCGCAATCTTCCTTGAGTCTGCCAAGATCTGGATTAGTAGTGGATACCTGTGTTATGCTATATACTTTGGGTGTGATATCCAAAAGGTTCCTCAAGCATGGAGGTGGAATCTTCTATTCAGGCTATAGCACTGCCTAACAAAAGTGAACTAAATCCAAAGATAGAAAAGCAACTTAAACAGATTTATCTTGGCATTCTCGTTCATGGGTTTGGTTCACAAGAAAGTTTTCATTCTATTTTTCCTGAAACAGACTGTCATGTCCAGGTCCCAGCCCAAGAATCCATGCCCCATTGGTGTTGACATTATGGGCAGTTTCAATAAGCTGGGCTCCAGTCAATCTTCCATTCCATTTACTGGACTTTTTGGCTAGTTCAGCTGTTTAGAGTCAGCCACTTAAACCTAACAACTGAGCAGGTCCAATGGGTTAAATGAAGCCCCTTCCTGGGTGATTCCTGCCCCCTTTCTCCTGGCCCTGAGCTGCAGTCAGGAGAAAAGGGGAACCAAACTTGCCAGACTGGTTTGTGTGGGGGCCTGCTCGGCTCAGTTTGGGGTTTGGTTTGTGGGCCACCCGAAACTGAACCACCTTTTTAGGTTTGTGCCCATCCCTAATGGTTGTGCATGCAGAAGCATGAAAACAGCCACCAATTATGACACTGCATCAACTGTACCACTACCAGCAATTTTTCCTCCATCTGTAGTTATTCAGATCCAACCACATATTCAAACTTTTTTACTAGGGATCCCTTTGCTTCTCTCAAGAATGCACATCACTTTACTCTTCTAATTCAGCAACTTTTTAAACACATTAAAAAGGCATCAAGTTGTTTTAGACATGCAAAACTTTTATGTAGTGCCTGTTTCTGACAAGGGTGAGCCAAGGTCATGTGTTGCTCCTCCCCTCCTCACCCTGCCCACAGTGCTGAAATTGCATATCAAGAAGTATTCAGCAAACTGCAACTAGTTGTGGTATCTGAATCAGGTGCTCTAAAGAACTGTGACTTGTTTCTTACGTGGTGATGCAAAGTGCTGTCAAGTCGCAGCCAACTTATGGTGACACTGGAGGATGTTCAAGGCAAGAGACAAATAGTGGTGTTTTGCGACTGCCTGCCTCTGTGTAGCAGCCCTGGATTTCCTTGGTGGTCTCTCATCCAACTACTTGATGGTCTCTCATCCAACTACTAACTAGGGCTGAGATCAGGCTTGCCTGGGCCAGCCAGGTCAGGGCTTCTTGTTTACAAACCAGGATTATAAACTACAACAAATCCAATAATAGGCAGAAATTTGATGAATTTGCAGCTCATTTGCTCCCTTGCTTCCTCCTCCCTTTGCATGGAAGGCTGAGACTGAAAACTGAAGTCTTCAACTAACAGCAATCTGCTGTGATAACCAAAGGTGGGTGCCTTAACAAATTGAGGCTTGACACTTCCTATCAATCAAGAATCTCAGTCAGGATTAAACCATGATTAAAAATCCCAGTACCTGAGAACACAAGAACCTGTAGCATGTTGAGGCAGCCACATTTGGACATCACAACAAACAGGAGTTTGTTGAAGGGGAACACAAAAGGGGGAAAAGAAAGGTGTACATGAGCATGGCAATTAGCTAGCTTCATAATGACTGCAAACAAATCTCTGGTTTCTTCATATCTGAACTGGGCCCTGGCTTGTAAACAAGAAACAAATGACAGTTTATCACATCAGATAATTCAGATGTCATATAAACCACAGTTTATTCAAGATTTCTGGTTTGTAATTTCAGCACTGGACAAGAGGAGAGGAAAGAATGGAGCATGCAAGTACAAGGATGTTGATTTGTTTGTAATGTCTAAATGCAGCCTAAACATTACAGTTGTGCAGCTTATAATTCACCTATGGGCAGCTGGGTTTTTTTGACATTATGAAAGTGTAGTAAATTATGCTTTTTGAAAAGTTTACAGTAAGATTTTTCATTTAAAACAACACAGTATAGCACTCATTCAGCAGCACCATGGCTTTGGGCAACGGATGAGCAGACTACTTTGTCCATTTTTGCATTAGTAATAGAAAAGTAGTACATCTGTAGGAACAAGAGTATTCACATTATTAGGATACATTATCGTATTGTAATAAATATACCTTCAAAGTCTTGATCATAGTTGGATCAGTTGACCTGACATAGAAACTCTTCAAGTAAGGTTCAAACATGCCCTACAGAAGAAAAACAAACAAATATAAGTTCGTAATTATATCGAAGTATTAAAAAGTAAAAATTCTGAATTTATATATTAATGAAACCAAACCTTGCGTTGGATTGACATTGTTGCTATATTCTGGAGAACAATGTACTGCACCTCCCTATAGAAGTCAACAACAGATAATTAATACACACCTCTCACCTCTCTATTAACATCAATTACAGCAAAAAGCACTGGTTATCAAAGGTAAAGATTATCCTTGTGCTTACAAGGCTGGAAGCTAAAAATATGATTTAAATTTAAGTTTTGTTTTATGTACAATTAGGCGCAAGGCCAGTTGCGGGAAGAGAAACAACGAGCCCTAGAGAGAGGCCACCGGAGGTTCCACACACACACTGGCAAAGGAGAGCGTGGTGGCTCCCCAGCGGCCAGGCTCGCGCCTCCCCCCACCACACGCTGGAGGTGGCAGGGCAAGCCAGCCGGCCTCGTTTCTCCTCTGTCGGTGTGCTAGAGGAGGCGGCTGCCGAAGATGGCAGGCCTCGCCCGTCCACAACGCTGTGTGCTGGTGGTGGCGGCAGCGTGCCAAGCCGGGTGGGTTGGCTCTTTCCCCGCGCTCCCGCCCACTCGAGGGCTCGGCGTGCCAAGGCGGCCAGCCTTGCCCCTCCCCACCGGCCGCCCGAGCGCACACTGCATGTAGCGGTGGAGCAGCAGTGAGCAAGGGACGGCCACTCGCTGCCTGTCCCGCATGCGCCAAGCCAGCTATCCTCATCCCTCCCCCCACCCACCCCAGCCAATGGCACGCCAGTTGCCCCGAGTGGCAGCTGGCGGGCCAATGGCTGGTTGTTGGGCGGCCAGTCGAACTCTGCCCCAGATGACCTTCATTGGGCGCTGCAGGCTGTTGCTGGTCAGCTCAGGCTGAGCCGGCTATAACTAAACCCGGTTAAGATGGAGGTCCTGGGCCTGAGTCGGGTTGGTTCGGAGTTGGGGCTCCCAGCCTTTGGTGCCAGCATCAGAGGTTAGGAATTTGGGTGTGCTCCTGGACTCCTCTTTAACGATGGAAGCCCAGGTGGCAGCCATTGCCAAGTCGGCCTTTTACCACCTTTGGATGGCTTGGCAGTTGGTTCCCATCCTTGACCACGATGACCTGGCTACAATGATCTATGCGACGGTCACCTCGAGGTTAGACTACTGTAACACTCGCTACATGGGGCTGCCTTTGTCGCAAATCTGGAAGCTGCCGCTAGTGCAGAATGCTGCAGCCAGGTTATTGATGGGTCTTTCTAGACAGGACCATATCAAACCTGCGCTCAAAGCACTGCACTGGCTGTCTATAGCGTACCACGTTCGCTTCAAAGTGCTGGTTCTTAACTTTAAAGTCCTACATGGCCAGGGTCTGGCATACCTGAGGGACTGCCTTTCCCCATATGTTCCCCCAAGGGCACTACGGTCGGGGACTCGGCACCTCCTGGTAACTCCAGGCCCCAAAGATGTTAAACTGGCTGCAACCAGGGCCAGGGCCTTTTCGGTGGCGGCTCCTATCTGGTGGAATGAGCTCCTGGAAGAGACTCGGGCCCTGCGGGACCTTGCGCAGTTCCGCAGGGCCTGCAAGACAGAGCTATTTCGCCAGGCTTTTGAGTAGGAGCCACCACCACCATTATACCATCACTGCACCACTATTATCTAGTGGAGCAGGCGTCATTGGGGGGAATGAGATGGCCCTGGGATGAAGAGCTGATGGCAGTGCTGTGTGGAACTCTTGTTGTTCTGGGTCTATCGTTCCAGAACCCCATCTTGTGATTAATGGATTTGTGACAACCAGAGCACTCGCACTTTATTGTATTAAGATGTTTTATTCTGTTTTTAACTGTTTTAACCTTGGCATACGTGCCTCTTCTGTTAGCCGCCCTGAGCCCACTTTGGGGAGGCCGGGGTATAAATTTAATAATAAATAAATAAATGGCTGAGGGAGCGCATTTCCTCTTGCCACCCCAATCCCTTTTATAATAAGGAGAGATGTCACAAATGAAAACAAGAGGTGGGAACTCACACAACTTATCCACTTCATTACCAACCACTGTCTGTAATGCAATGTCTGGAAATTACAAAAATATCATAGTTCTGCATTCTCTACAGTATACGACAATTATCCTTCTGGTTTAAATTAACTCCAGGACACTCCTAAACGTTTTGAGAACCCTAATTAACTTGAGAATCTCAAAGTTATAAGAGCATAACTGGCTTTTATTTGATTCAATCTGGGGTCCTCACCTACTGCACAACAGTAAAAGGGGAATTCACACGCAAAAAGGGTGAAGAATAAGAACCTTGCATTCTCACAAGCAATGTTCACAGGCATTTATAACAGTTTTCCCCCAAGATGTTTGCCATAGCTTATGGAATAACCTTCTTCCAGAAATCCAACTTTTTGTTTTGGCATTCTAGCATAATTAAAAAACCTGCCTAGCCCAGAGGGCCTTTGAAATTAGTTGGTTTTTTGCTTGTCCTGAAGTTTTTAGGTTGTGTTACTGTATTTCAGATTACATTTTAAATTGCTGGTACTGTAAAAAGACACAATATAAAACAGTATCAACAGTTTAAAACACAGTAGCCTAAAATACAATGACATTATAAACCATTTTCATTCACCCGATCAAGCCACGAGAGCTGATCTGGCCCGACGACGTCCCGCGCTGCCGCCGCTGCGGTTTGCGTCTCTCCCTCGTCGTCCGAGGAAAAAACCTCGGGAAGATCTCTCGACGTCATGCCGGCACGAGCCTCTTCAGGACTTAAAGTCCCGGCGTTTTCGCTCCCCCGGAGCAAAGGGAGAGAAAGGAGGTCGGGAAACAGAGTAAAGGAAAAAAGGCTGAAGTACAGTAAAGTGTAGTAAAGAGAGTAAAAGAGGGCAAGATAAGGTTAAACTTTAGAAAGAAGGAGAATTCTCTTGAAAGTTAGCTGTAGCTAGCTGACTAAGCTGCTGCTCCCTGGTGAGGCAGGAACAGAACTGAGGCGGGGCTATTCCGAGGGCGCCAACAGGAAGGAGAAAAAACTAGTTCCTGCCTCCCTGATAGCACGGTGGGAATAACCCATTCAGATGTCCTCCGTCTCAGAGGGAGAACTGGCTTTTATTTGATTCAATCTGGGCTGGCCACCTAGAGCACAACAGTATAAGGGGAATTCACACGCAAAAAGGGTGAAGAATAAGAACCTTGCATTCTCACAAGCAATGTTCACAGGCATTTATAACAGTTTTCCCCCAAGATGTTTGCCATAGCTTATGGAATAACCTTCTTCCAGAAATCCAACTTTTTGTTTTGGCATTCTAGCATAATTAAAAAACCTGCCTAGCCCAGAGGGCCTTTGAAATTAGTTGGTTTTTTGCTTGTCCTGAAGTTTTTAGGTTGTGTTACTGTATTTCAGATTACATTTTAAATTGCTGGTACTGTAAAAAGACACAATATAAAACAGTATCAACAGTTTAAAACACAGTAGCCTAAAATACAATGACATTATAAACCATTTTCATTATAAGCCACTTTGATTACCTAGAGACTAGCTAGATGGCACACAAAATTGTCTCAAGAATAATGACAATTTAAAAATATAATTGTATTGTAAAACCATTAAATCAACCCTCCCCAAACACACATCATTAAAACAATACATTCAAAACAGAAACAATGTTGGTTAAAAAGGAGAGACCATTGAGGGAATGCCAAACAAAACAAAAATGTGTTCGCCCACTGATGGAAGAAAGCAACAGAAGGGAATAGTCAAATCTCCCTGAAGAGAACGTTCCAGATCTTTGGTACCACGGCCGAGAAAGCCCTTTCCCAGGTTGCCACCTACCTAATCTCAAAAGGCAGGGGCAACCAAAGCAGGGAGTACATGGTTTTTCAGGTATGTTGGTCCCAAACTATTTATGGCTTTGAAGGTCAAGACCAGCACCTTTTATTGAGCCCAGAAACAAACTGAGAGCCAGTGTAGATTGGGCCAAGGCTTGAGCCATATGGTCCATATGGTCCCTCCAGCCCACTAAATATTCTATCTGTAGTATTTTGGACCAACTGAATTTTCCAAACACTTCTCAACCCCACATAGAGCACAAAACAGTAATCTATTCCAAATGTAACCAGGGCATGCATCACAGTAGTCAGATCTGTCCAGGAAAGGCCACCACTGGCTAACCAGTCAAAACAGGTAAAAGGCACTCTTAGCTGCAGCTGCCACCTGCTTTTCCAGCAGCAGGCCTTGGTCCAAGAGCACCCACAGACTGCAGACCTGTTCCTTCAATGGGAGTGCAATCCCATCCAGAACGTGAGACACCTTAAATCCCAGCTCAGACCCTCCAGCCACCAATAGCACTTCCATCTTGCTGGGATTAGGCTTCAGTTTATTAGCCTGTATCCACTCCAAAACTGTCTCTAGGGAATGGTTCAGGGTTTCTACAACCTCCCTAAGATCAGCTGGAAGTGTAAGATAGAGCTGAGTGCCATCCACAAATTGGTAACAGCCCAACCCAAATCTCCTGATGACCCTACCCAGTGGTTTCATGTAGATGTTAAAGAGCTTAGGGGACAAGATGTAACCTTGTGGGACCTCATAGGCCCAGGGCCTGAGCAGCAGTTCCCCACTACCATCTTCTGAAATCTACCCTCCAGGTAGGACCAGAACCACCACAGAAAGGCCTCTCAATGCCAGCTCAGATAGGCTGTCCAGAAGGATACCATGATCAATTGTACTGAAAGCCACTGGGAGGTCCAGGAGAATCAACCCTTTTGTGATCTCCCAGTGCAAGCCATCCACCAGGGCAATCGGGACTATTCAGTCTCATAATCAGCTCTAAACCCAGACTGGAAGGGATCTAAACAGTTTGCCTCATCCAGGAAAGCTTGAAGTTGGCCGGCCAGTCACCAACCTTTCAGTCGCCTTGCTCAAGAATGGAACAGTTGAGACTGTTTGATATCCTGGGTTGAAGAGAAGTTTCTTTAGAAGTGGTTACACCACAGCCTGTTTCAAGTCTGTGGCGATCACACACCACCACCCCATCTCAAGGAGGCATTAACTACCTCTCAAACCCAGCCACCAGCCCCACCCCACAAGATTTAAGTAACCAGGAAGGGCAAGGGTCATACAAGCAGGTCACAGGCCTCAAGCTTCCAAGGATCCTGTACACATCCTCAGACTGAACAAACTGAGAAGTATCCCAAACAATTGGACAAGTTTGTACCCTGGTATCACCTAACCCTGTTACTGCTAATACAGAGTCCAAATCGGAACAGAGTGAGAGATTTTATCTGCAAAGTGCTGAGCAAAACATGCACAGTGGGCATGGAACAGTCCACTTCCTCCTGCATGCTAGCTTCCAGCAGGCCTCTGACGACCATTTTTTTATAGTATAGTATTTGTATAGTAAATATTCAGAACAATGGAAAACAGTGATGTGCTTTATGTTTTCATTGAAGTTCATAAAACTGAGGTCACTAAATGCTATTAATACTTTTGTAAGTATATTTGCATTGGTTTATGAGCAAATATCCAATTGCTTTTCACGTTTCACTTTTTAAAAATTAAATGAAGAACTATACTACTTACAACAAACAGGTACAACAAACAGGTATAAATTATATATCACATTATCTAATGTATAAATAGCCAATTGCTTTTGACACAGAAGTAAAACCTGTTTTAGCATATTTAAATTTGCACCTTTCTGAAGACAGCTGAGCACAGTTAACTTTTACTGATGGAAGAATTTGTTGACTGGTGTTACACTTAATTTACCTGTTACTGCGAAGTAAGCGTACTAATGATTTCGCAACAATACCAGCCTCAGATATGGGTGCCACATGCCAATAAAGTTGAGCAACTGCCATCACCACCTGGGAAAAAAAGAAGTCACTCACTTTCACTGCAGATAGTGAATATGCCATGCATTCAAATATTGACCTACAGAACTTTCTTTCATACAGCCCTTAAAGCAAGCAAAGACATTCAAAGAGATCAATGTGGCTATTTCCTTTTCGGAGAAAAAAGCATAAATGGGTTCTGTCAAAGGTTAAGTTCAAGTTCAGACCACTAAAACACAATCTTGTTCAGGTAAGCCAGAACACAAATCAACAGGGCCACATTCTTAATTTCCGTCTACCTATATACAGTTTTTACTCAGTGTGTAAAAACTCAGCATTATTTAATTCAAAGAGAGTGAAAGAAAGCTTAGTCAAAGACAAACATAGTAAAAGATAGTAAACATCAGGAAAAATGACCAGTGATGTTAAGAAGCTTATTCATTATAAAGGTGGGGAAAACATCCACTGTAACATATCATAAAAATGGATTTTTAAAAATTAATTTAGGTAATCAACATGGTGTTCTCTGAAAATGTATTTGTTTATTTAGCACATTTATATACCACCTCTCCAGAGACCTGCTTTGGGGATTAAGAGGCAATGGGATTTACCCATCCCCCAAATCGAGGGGATTAATTTTAAAGCCTAATAGTATGGTTGCATTCAGATTCTGTGTATTTCTCTACTCTTGTAACATGGGGCAGAAAATGTTCCACTGCTTTATTTTTCCACAAAATCCTTTTCCATTTCCAAAGATTCATTGCTTCATAAAATTAAAAACAATGAATGGATGTCATCGCTGATACAACATTTGCAAGCTTGGCAGCTTCAAAGTTATAATTTAACATTTTTATTCCTAGGACGTGTGTGAGATCCAAACTACAGATGCAATAATCCAATTAAAAATAGTATAATAATCAAGTATAATAATCCAATTTTTAAAAATCAAGTAAAGAATTAACCTGACCAAAGCTAAAACTCTTATTTATGTCTCCTTTCACATGGTGGAAGGAATACTGTAATCATTATTCTGATATGGAAGTAACACGTAATACAAGTGGATAAGGTGCTCTAGTGACCTCCATGGATGAGAGTTAAATTCTGCCAAAATAGATGAGCCCATGGCACATCATACACAGTCCTTTGGGTGTGCTAAAATTAGTGTCAACAGTTTTCAGGACTATTGGGTTTTCCTTTAAGAAATTATATGGGACGTATATGCTGCATTATTCCAATTAAAATAATTTTCTATATAAAGCGTTGAATCTGAGTATATATGTAATCAACACTTGATTTTGTTTCATTATCAAATATAAAGACTTTTTAAAACTTTTTACTAAATATTAATTTATTAAATCAGATCATGCTCTATTTATAGCTCTGGATAAGCTTTTGGAAAGTTTTCCAGAGTTTTCCTATTGCAGATTTTCTGAAAAGCCATATCATTTTCTCTGCCACCATAGTGGAAAACGCTACTATATGTGAATTATATTCAGAATAGGTCTATGTTAAGAAAACCTAGCAATTAAAAGAGTTTCCAAGGAAAATAACTACACTTAAACAAATTGTGATATTTTACATTAATAGCAACTGGATACTGAGGATGCTCACTTAGGATATCTATTCTTTTTAAAGACTAAAATCAGTTATACTCCGTTCAACAGCTAAACTTGTACAAAAATGTATTTTTAAAAGATCAATTTGGAGGATAATAGTCATACAGCAGCATTCCGGCTTTGCAGTAAAGGCTTTGTATTTCGAATCAGTAATCTGTGGTCCAGGTCCATGGAATAGGACTTGTTCACTTTCTGATTTTTCTCCTGCTGATCATCATCAGATTCATAAAATTTCTTTTCACTATATTCTTCCTGAACACCATCCTATAAAGAAAGAAAGAATAAGGGGGGTGGGGGTGGGAATCCACATTATATACATGGCAATTTTTCTTTTTAGATCATAACAAATTCTATGGTGCTACTGGACTCAAATCTACCTAATTTAAATTATGATACATCATAAGAACATAAGAGACGCAAATGTTGGATCAGGCCAAAGGCCCATCCAGTCCAACACCCTGTGTCACACAGTGGCCAGAAAAACCAGGTGTCATCAGGAGGTCCACCAGTGGGGCCAGGACATTAGAAGCCCTCCCACTGTTGACCCCCCCCGGCCTTCTTTATTGCAGTCACACACTGTCTCGACATTTTCAGTGAGTTATCTACTACAACTCCAAGATCTCTCTCTTGATCAGTCTCTGCCAGTTCAGACCCCATCAATGTGTATTTATATTTAGGATTTTTGGCTCCAATGTGCATCACCTTGCACTTGGCCACATTGAACCCCATTTGCCATGTCGATGCCTACTTGCTCATCCTTGACAGATCCCTTTGGAGGGCCTCACAATTCTCACTGGTTTTCACCACCCTGAACAACTTCGTATCATCCGCAAACTTCACTACTTACTCCCAACTCCAAATCATTAATGAACAAGTTAAAAAGCAGTGGACCAAGTACTGATCCCTGTGGTACCCCACTGCTTACCACCCTCCACTGAGAAAATTGCCCATTTATACTCACTCTCTGTTTTCTATTAATTAACCGGATTTTGATCCATAAAAGGACTTCTCTTTTTATCCCATGATTTTTGAGCTTACTTAGGAGCCTTTGATGAGGAACTTTATCAAAAGCTTTTTGGAAGTCAAGGTAAACAATATCTATTGGATCCCCTTTGTCCACATGTTTGTTCACCCCCTCAAAGAACACTAACAGGTTCTTCTGAATTTCCTCTAATACATTTTTAATTCAAACTGCAGGTCAGATTTTTCAAAGGGTTCTTGACAATCCAAATACAACGAGCTGTTTCTTTCTCAGAGACTGAATATAAGATCTACTGGCTGCCTTGGCCTCTAATTAAGCTGACAAAGCAAAAACCTAATAACAAGTATGTCAATGCACTCATACAATAGTAACAGAATAGTAATAGAATAAATCAAACTCAAACTCAACTAGTTGTGGACAGTTAAATCAGTGTAAAACTTTACAGATCAGTGTGATGTCCACACTACAAAGCCTACTCCCACTAACAGGTCTATTCTTTCAATTATCCTTGAAGAGAGCATCTTAATACTCAGTATCAGAACAAAAAATAGGGAAAAGATATTAAAAATATACATCTGATTCTTTAGAAATCCTCTGAAAGGTATGTGCTAAGCTCAAATATTTAATTTCAGACTCTGCAACACCAGATGAATCCGATAATTCCCAATGATATGAAATATTTGTGCTCACAAATTTACCCCTGTCCCCCCAAAATCTACAAAGTCCAAGAGGGTATAACACATATTCCCTGAAGAACCTGACAAACATGTGGACAAATGTTGCTACAACCTCCTTTTAATGCTTCAGGCTTTGAAAAAAAAAAAGTCCAAGTGTTTTATCTAGTCATGTGCCTCAAATCATAGGACTTTGAAGCCTCAACAGATACTTAATTGATATGATTATGATGGTTCTCATCCCAAACAAAACCTGGTCACCACTTCACTTATCTAATAAGCTTAGCATATGGTATTTGTTTGGGAGCTCAGGACGCGAAGAAGTTCTAAAGTGTAAAGTTTTCAGATTTAATAAGCAATGTGTATGGGGGGGGGGGGGGAGAAGCAGCAAAACATACACGATATATCACAGATACACACAAATTTGTTTGCAATATTAGAAAGAAGAATGACACTGAATGACCTGATATGACCATACAGGCATGATTCAAAAGCAATCATACTAAAATATTCAGCTAGATTCCCCTTTAATCCAAGCCTAGAAGGGCTAAATTAACATTTGAAATTAAATTAGCATTTGAAGTAAAAGGCAGCCTGGGAAGGAGAGGAGCTCTTGCCTGAGCAGCCTGCCTTCAGCCATTGTTAATCAACCAGAGGCTGACTCACTCATCCTCCTTTATTGGATAGCTCCCAATCAGTGTGACTGGCTCCGGTGGGGGTGGAGCTTTGGCCTAAGCTACAAGCAGGCCCAGCTCCAGTGCTGAAGTGTCTGGAACAAAGGAATAAACAGGTGAGTTTAGCAGAGGAGCGAGTACAGCAGGGAGGTGAGGAAGCCAGGGTGCCAGTCTCTCCATGCCCCTAAAAAGGTAACCACACTTTCCACAAACAGATCTATATAAATAGGAAATTTATTTTAAAAAGGGGGATTTAAAAAAAAGTAATTATGAAAGCAGAATGCCAGCATGGGGTTGGGGGTTACCCAGTGTATTGCACTGAGTGCAACATGTATGACTATCTGCCAGCTGGATGGAAACCATGGGTGTGCGCTTAGTGCAAGGAGCTACTGGTTCTCAGGGAAAGAAAAAAAAAAAGAGTTCACATCCTCAAGACCAAGGCAGCTGGCCTGTAGAAGCAGAGACAGTCAGTTAGACACACAATACTCTCAGGGACTTGTTAGATGGGCCCTGCTCCAAGAATGGCAACCCTGCCACTGTCAGAGACAGTTAGACACACAAGGTTCTATCTAGTGGCCTATCTAAACCACGCATAATGTCTGCTACCTTCACACCAGGCAGGCTAGTCACTATGCGGTCAGTACATGGGTTTGCAACCCATCTATCTACATGCCTAAGATTCAAATCACCAACTACCAAGAGCCGCCCTCCCTCCTTGGGTTTCTCAAATGAGGGGGCTTGAGGAGAAGGAACTGAAAGGGTCAAATCCCTTCAAGAAACTTGGAGACTATTTAAAACTACAATACTGGAAGCTCAGATAAAATGTATACTGCAGGTTATGAAAGATATGAATAGGTATTTTAAAAAGGCCTGCATGGTTAATGAACAAAGTAATGGAAGCAGTAAAAGGTAAGAACGATTCCTTTAAGTGGTGGAAGGCTAGTCTGAGTGAGGTAAATATAAGGGAGCATCGGCAAGTCGGTGATCAGACAGGCAAAAAGGGACTATGAAAAACATATTGCAAAAACATAAAGACCTACAATAAAATTTCTTCAAATACATTAGAAGCAGGAATAGCCACATGGCAGGGGGGTCCTTAGATGTCCAAGGGGTAAAATGATTGCTAAAGGATTACAGGGAAATGGCAGAGAAGCTAATGCATGTTTTTGCCTCTGTTTTCACTGTGGAAGGTGGGAGGTGCTTGCCCACTCCAGAACCACCAATTTCAGGAGGGGTGTCAAAAGACTTGAGTCAGATTGAGCTGACAAGAGAGGAGGTACTACAACTGATGGACAAAGTAAAAACTGATAAATTGCCAGGCCCAGATGGCATCTACTCAAGAGTTCTGAAAGAACTCAAATGTGAACTTGTATATCTCCTGAGAAAAAATATGCAGACTATCACTAAAATCTGTCTCCATTCCCGAGGACTGGAAGGTAGCTAATGTAATCCCCATCTTTAAAAAAAAGGTTCCAGAAGAGATCTGGGAAATTACAGGCTGGTCAGTCTAATGTCAATCCTGGGTAAACTGGTGGAATCCATTATCAAAGACAGAGTTAGTAGGCACACTGATGAATAAAAGCTATTGAGGAAGAATCAGCCGGGATTCTGTAAAGGAAGATCTTGTCTCACTAACCTTTCAGAGTACTTTGAGGGGGTGAACAAACATGTGGACAAGGGTGACCCAGTAGATGTTGTTTACCTAGACTTCCAGAAAGCTGTTGCTAAAGTTCCTCCTAAGTAAACTTAGCAGTCATGGGATAAGTGCACAAGTCCTTTTGTGATTTAAAAACTGTTTAATTAACAGGAAACAGAGAATGAGTATAAAATGGCAGTTTTCTCAGTGGTGCTTTTAAACTTGTTTATTAATTATTTGGAGTTGGAAATAAGCAGTGAAGTGGCTGAACTTGCAGATGACACTAAGTTGTTCAGGGCAGTGAGAACCAGGGAAGACTGTGAGGTTCTCCAGAGGGATCTGTTGAAGCTGGGCAAGTGTGCATCAATGTGACAAATGAGGTTCAATGCGGGCAAATGCAAAGTAATGCACATTGGAGCCAAAAATCCCAACTATAAATATATGTTGATGGGGTCTGAACTCGTGGTAACTGACCAGGAGAGAGATCTTGGAATCATAGTAGATAACTCCCTGAAAATGTCGACTCAGTGTGCGATGGCAATAAAAAAGGCAAACGTCTGGCATTATTAGGAAGAGGATTGAAAACAAATCAGCCAGTATAATAACGCCCCTGTATAAATTTATGGTGCTGCCTCATTTGGAATACTGCGTACAGTTCTGGTCACTGTACCTCAAAAAAAGATATTATAGCTGTCCCGGTTCCAAAGTTCCGGGACTTAGCCCACACTCTCCAGGGGTCCCGATGACCGCCAACTCACCCAGAAGACCCCCCAGATCGGGCAGCACTGACAACGAGTCAGAAGGCAGAGCCAGGACATTGTAGCCCATGAGAGAGCCTCGCAGCACCAACCCCCATCACCGCCAGCAAGACGTGGCAATTCGGGCAAGCCCGAGCACAGAGCAGAGGGCCCCGGGGAGCTGCGGGAGAAGCCAACACTGCCGAGGAGAGGCTGACAATGGGCGCGTGGGTGCAGGGTAACCCGCACGCCGGTGCTGCGGCCCTAGGCCGACAGAGCCACCACCAGCACAGTCCCGACCCCACCCTGTGCGTCGGGACAGCATCTGAGCTTACCACAGGGGGCAGGGCTGGGTGGATGAGGAAAGAGGTGGGGATGGGGGACGGTGCTGGGAGCGGGGCTGGGTATAAAGGAGAGAGAAGGTGAAGGGGCCGGAGAGGAGGAACATGCTCGGAACAACCAGGCGGATACAGTGAGAAGGAGAGTCCGTTGGGACGCTGAGTAACCCAGGTACCAACGCATGGAGGCAGAGGGACTTATGGGGTGCCATTAACCCTGTCC